TTTGTGTGTACATTACTGTAATAAAATTATAGAAAAAATATCATCGAGAAATTTGAATTCTAACTTCAGGACTTTGTTGATGTTTACTGATACCTGGTACAAGCAAAAAATAAATTAAATAAATTCCAAATAGTTTAAAAACTAGAAGGTATCCGTGTTGGTACACTAAACAAATAATTGCAGCTATTACAGATAAGAAATAGCTTTGAAAAATGCTATTTATTTTAGTACTGTTTACTGTTGTAGGGAGCTCTATCTGGGTGGCTGTTTCAGGAAGGCACACTATTATATTTTTCTCTAAAACTTTATTTTTCCATAAAGGCATAAATCTTAGCAACGCTCCTTTTTCGTACATATACAAAATACATAACCTCCCTTTTCCTAACTAACCATAAGCCTAAGATAAGAAGAAAGAACTAAGAACACTGAACACTTTACTCCAGATCTCCTCTTCTTCTTCTTATTCGAATAAGTAAATCGCGCGGGACTTTTTAAATATTTGAAACGGGTTACTACACTGTACATCCGATCTAAAATTTTCTGATAATCTAGATGTCTCACCATATTTTTGTAATATATCTTTTAAGTGCGTTAGCGAGAGGGACGTTATTTGGGCCTCTAAGAAACTTAGAGATAAAATGTTGATCGGATCTCGAGTTTCCTGATCAAAGACTGCATACGAGTTCAGATGTATTTAAACTGTCTCTTTAAAAAAATATATTTCCAGAGATATGGAAGACATGCCAAGTATGCCCCATACTCAAAAAGGTGATCCAGAACTATAGGGCTATATCATTGTTGTGTAATTTTTCAAAATTATTAGAGATAACCTTGTACAATCACATTTACAATATTTTAAACGTATGTGTCACCTGACCAACATGGCTTTATGGAAAAAAGATCTTGTTGACATGATAAATTTAGCTTGTTTAACACAATATTTATGTGAATCTATTCATAGACAACACTGTGGATGTTATTTACTTTGACTTCAAAAAGGCATTTGATTAGATTTATTATTATGTTTTACTTTCTAAACTTGATCGTATGGGTTTTTCACAATGTTTATTAAACTTTTTTGAGTCATTTTTATATGGCATACAACAATTTATTGAGTATGATGGTTTTAGATGTTATATTTACAAACTAAATATAGGAGTTCCGCAGGGGTCCATCTTGGGACCTCTCTTATTTTAGATTTTTATTAATGATTTAGCCAATTCAATTAAATGCCCCAAACATTTTTTCGTCGATAATCTTATTTTGCAGTAAAATAAATATATTCATGACTGTTATCATTTACAATCAGTTATCGATCCCATTTTGCATTGGTGTAAAAATATCGCATTTACCTACTCATATCAATGAATCAAAATTTAATATAGTATCCTACATTAGGAAAAAAACAAGTATTCTATATAATTATCGTCTTTAATCTACCTCTACAAATAGTTGTGCATGGTGTGAAGGATTGGTGTGTGGTGTGGTAATAGTTTAAATAACTAGATGAATTTCACAGGGTCTAACGATACTTACAGTGAACGATAATTCAATAAACAAAGAAATCTAAATAAAAAATTTAGATAAATTTGGTACGAATACACTGAAGATGAATTTTTCGAGACAAAACGTCTGAATCTGGTCAGGGCTGAGGCAGTGCAGTATTGGGGGTCATGAAGGCTTGCAAAAAATGTAATAAAATTTCCAGGGTCGTATTAAAAAAAATGAAGTTGATGATGGTCCTGGAGAGACGAAACAGTACATATAAAAATTGATTATGCCATTCGATAGAGGGCAAAAAGTGGTCATAAGAAAGTGTTCTTTTTTCAATATCTCCTCAAACAAGGCTGAAATTAAACAAAAACGGATTTACAAATTTTCGTTTTTTTTTAATGTTTCGAAAACTAATCATGTTAGCCTTGATTTTTTAGAGGCATAATGTTGCCTGATTACGCAACTTTGCTCCTATTTAAGCTACTTCGTACCTTTTTAGGTACGAACGTCTTCTTGTGATACATACATCTCACAGCAACCTTTTAATAAAATCACTGATACATGAAATAGCTAGAGCAATGTTAATGCAATTTGTAGCGAATGTGATATTCATGCTGATAGTCTTCACAAAATTAAACGTTGTGTAGATACAGTTACTTTTTGAAAAATATTTCTAAGAACCTATGTAGGTAAATGTATCTTTTTAACGTAAAATTGATTAAATCTGAAGACATTGACATACTGAACTGACTTCTGGTCTAAGATATAGGAATAAGCATTAGGAATAGACGTAGCTTTCAACACAGCTACACTAGACTTAAATAAAATAAGTAGAATGTGTTATGACACGTGCTTAAATATAGTATGGTGACTTGCGTCCAAGAATGTCTGAAATTAAATCTGTTATTTGCCTTGCTTAGATCAATACATGTTTGCCGAAGAATTAATGAATTATGAATTACATGGGTGAAATTGTTGTAAGAGCTTATTTGTATCGTTGGTATTTATATAATTTATAACGTTATTATACTGGTTGTTTGGATTACCGACCGTCTTAAGAGAGCAGGTAAATATTAAAAGAGTAAATAGTATCAATTACGGATATTGTGTGTAGGCGTTGTCTATTTCTTTATGTATCTTTACTGTAATAAAAATATATGTATAATTCAATGAAAGAATTATGATAGCCATTATTCTAAATCTGTGACACATTGACACTTCACTGTGCATTTCTTCGTAAAGGTATAAAGATTCAATTCAATTTTTTTTCTAAATTATCTTCAAATTAAGGCACCTACATACTTACATTTTCATAATAGCTAGATTTGAGGTTAGATAGAAACAATTTAGAGGAAAATTCTATCAAAAAAAAACAATAGTGCAAGTTTCTATGGCACCTTCTTGAAATCTCAATAGATATTGACTGATTTACATAACCTCGAATATACTTTTTGAAAATAATATTTTGCCATAACTTTTTCTAATTGAACGATTTTTTTCAAATTTCGTATTCTTATTCTTGATCCCAAATACATTTAGATACAAAAAGAAACATAGCAGTAAAGAACATAAATAGACTTTATTCACTACGCAATTGATCATAACTTTTTTTAAATTTCTTAAAAAATACTACGTAGAATTTTAGAGGAGAGTCTTGTTTAATTGTGACAAATTGAATCGTTACCGAAAAAATTCCAGTAATTCAAGCTACACTTTTAGTAATATAATATGGGATTAGAATAATACCTACTGTTTAAATTAGTGTCCAAATGCCCTTAGTCCTGAAAACAGGAAATTTAGCCACAAATAATATTTAATGTATCATACTAATAATAATAATGTACTAAACAAACAAGAATATATAAAAAATTTAAAAGTTTTAAATAAGTCTAACAAACATACGAGTATTTATCACATAAAATATGTTTTGAAAAAAAAAAGAAAAAAAAACGAAATTTCGGTACTATTTTATCAACTTGTAGATAGATATTTATATTCTATATTAATTGTATACGCATTCTGAAATGTTGGAGTGGTGATTGCGGAGTCAGTCCAGAATTATCGCCCGGTCACAGAAGCGCAACTGGAGATTATTTCGATTAGTTCTAACAACACAATTGATGGACAGATGGACGATTTTGTAACCAACAGAGTTATCAATAGTATAGTTACATCGGTAGGCATGAGAAAAATAACCTGTCATTATCCGGTTATTATTTTTATTATTATTAACCTAACAAACTGATTCACTTAGCCATAACCGAAAGTCGGTTGATTTTCAAATTGTGTTATTGCTCATACTCATTTATATTAAAATAAACATTACATTCAATATCATGATTTTGGTGCACGAAACAGCGTACGTTAAAATTTAATGCTTTTATTGTCCTATTCTAACAGTTTCTTTCGATTTTACTTGATTAACAAAAATTGATCAATTAAAATCTAATTGTGAGAACGCACATATAAAACCATCCCTTCTGTTGATCTAGTAAAGCTGATTAAAGGAAGTATTCTTACGAATCGATTTTAGTTGATCAATTGAAATTGACTAATAAAAAATGAATAAAAATGATCATATAATAATAATAATATCTCTACTCCTCATTCTAATTACGATAATTAGCCCATAAGTCGGAGACTTGTGCGGGAGAGGAGGCGGCCATATTATTATTAGGCAGGCCGCATTTGCGCCCAGGAACGACTTATGTTGGAAGGCCCTAACCACCATTCAGTGCATGAATGAGGGAAACCTGGAAAACCTCATTAATTAGGGGGGTGGTCAAATGCCAACCGGTGTCAATCTCTCACATTGACCGGCCAACATTCTGCCACCCTACCATACCTGCACAGAGGGTGCCAATTCTCCGTACAAGCATAACTAATCTACGGTCTACCGGCCGCGGGAATCGAACCGGGGCAGAAATTTGCACACGATTAAAGGACTGACGCCTTAAACCGTGCGGCTATCGACCGATAAGAACCTTTGCTTCTACTTAGTTGATAAACTTTTTAGTAGATCAACAAGTTTGATCTATTCAAATTTTATCGTTCAAGTCGTTGAGTCATCATTGAATCACTAACTAGTTGCAACGTAGGTACTTGAAGCGTATGAACCCATATTGGCCACCCACTTCAACTTTCGCCACTTTTTTTGTGTTTTTGTTCATGCTCGATACATTTTTTTGTGAAACAGCTTTTATCGAAATGCGTAAACAATAAGTTACCCAATCACGGTAATCTTTTACTGATCAACAAAAGTTGCTGAACTAAAATCGGTTCGTGAAAACATCGTTTGATTCATAAATGATAAATTTAATGCATTGTATTGAATTTTGTATTTTAAATGTCTACAGCTAAATCAAGTCCGTGGTCAGAATTTTCAGGGCAGGCTCATTATTATCATAAACAATTTCGTTATTTCTGCGGTCTGTTCTGCCCGTTCTGCCTGCGTCCTTGAATAAAATATAATCATAATAAATTACAAATACATGATTTTCTTTCAGAAATAAAAAATGCCGCAAGCAACGGAGGGAATGAGTCTGATGACAACTTATATAATTCTCATCACTCTTTTAATAGCGCTTTGGGTTCTATATTCTGGAATTTTATAGACTAAATATGTAAGTAGAATACAAATAAATACTAAAATACTAATTTATAGGACGTTATTAGTCAGTTCATCAATTTATTAATTAGATTTTTTCAAGGACATTTAATTCTTTTATTGTTATTAATTACCTACAAGGTGCGTTCCAAAGGAAACAGAACTTTTCAGAAATAGGTATTTCTAATGAGGCCCTCTATTGGTCATCCGTCAGAAAGGTAGGTCCTCCACTGATGTACTTTCAAAAATTCATGACGTTTGGATGAATAGAAGCGAAGTTATTGCGTTTGAAGTACAAAACAGTATGTTTGTGTTTTCGGTACAAAAATGAGCGTCAAACAAAGAGTTATATTAAGTTTGGTTTTAAACTTGATAACAGTTTTACCGAAATGTTTCAATAATTGATGAACCAAGTTTATTGTGATGATTGTTTATCCCGTGAGTTTATCATGAGTGTTATACGCGGTTTAAAAACAATCGTGACAATGACATAATTGTTGTTGGCAACATGTTTGCCAACCGAAATCAGTGATCACTGCAGATTCCATCAAAACTATGCCTGAAGACATCAAAGATCAACCAAAATCTTCATTGAAATTCATGTAATTGAATCATTTCAAAAACATTAATTTATCGCATTTTGGCCGAACATTTGGCCTACCAAAAAGTTTGTGTACGGTTTGTTCCGCAAAAGTTGACTGACGACCAAAAATTGCTCAGAATTCAACATTCGAAGGAAATTATCAATGAGGCCAAAAAGGATAAAAACTTCCTTTACAACATTGTGACTGGTGACGAAACGTGGTGTATTCAATATGATCCAGAAACCACGCACTAAAGTACCGAGTGGAAAGCGCCAGACGAGCCAAAATATGTCAAAAAAGACGATGAATTATAACAATCAGATATTAATTAACGGCCAAATGATAGTGAATGCTTATGCGTCGTATTTTCAATCTTTCTATATAATGTCTCAAACTCACAATATACAAGTTAATGTGCCTAACATTAAGTCGAACAACATGCTTATCATGGAAAGCATTACAGAGGATGATGTCAAACGAAGTTGCGCAAACTGAAGCCAAAAATGTCCATGGGACCGGATGAAATCCCTGCGTTTGTGGTAAAGGACTATGATAGCACCTTTATTCATCCTCTCACTATCATATTCACACATCACATTTCATCACATTTAATATTGAAATCCAGGAAGTTTCCTAATATATGGAAAGTTTCACGTTTATGCCCTATTCTTAAGAACGGTGACAGGAGTGATATAACTAATTATCGACCCATTGCGCTAATCTGTGGTTTCTGTAAGGTCTTTGAGAATATCTTGTATCATTATGTCTATAACCATGTCAAAAATATTGTAACCATAAATCAACATGGTTTTATGAACGGGAGATTTACTACAATGAATCTCGTGTGTGTTTCTCAATATGTCGCGGATGTTCTGGATAATCGGAGGCAGGTTGATATTATATTTACAGATTTCTCGAAGGCCTTCGATAAAATGGATCACAAAATTTTGATTGAAAGACTGGGTGGTTACGGATTGTCTGAGAATTTAGTTGATTTGTTTGTGTCATATCTGGCTGATAGAACGCAATATGTACAATAAAGGGGGTTCAAATCACAAGTAATAAGAGTACTGTTAGGAGTACCTCAGGGTTTAGTTCTGGGACCTCTACTGTTCAACATCTTTTTGGATGACATCAAAGATTTAGCGACTGTATTTGATTATAAGCTTTCGTTTGTTGAACATGTTGATAGGATTTTGCAGATCTCATACAAAAATTTTGGGTTCGTTATTCAAAATGGTAGAGATTTCTTGGATCGTAGTACATTATTTATTTTATATAACTCGTTTGTGAGGTCTAGTTTGGAATATGGATCTATTGTGTGGAACCCGCTATATACAGTTCACATAAATAATTTGGAGAACATACAAAGGAAGTTTTTAAAGTACTTATTTTATAAAGAAAATTCGTATTACCTTCCCATTAACTTTTCTCAGAACCTTCTGTTAAATCACTTTGGCGTGAATTCTTTACGGTTTAGAAGATCAATGCACTCGATCATTTTGTTGCATAAGATAATCCAAAACATCTTTGACTGTCCTCAGATATTAAGTTTACTTAACTTTAATGTGCCTAGGTTAATTTCGCATTCTCCTGCAACCTTCTGTTTGCCTATCCCTTGCACAAATCTACTAAAAGCTTCTCCATTGTTTCAGGCATGTTCAAACTATACAAAAATTGCACATCTTGTAGTGGTTTTTAATTGTACCATAAATGAAATTAAAGAAAACCCTATACATATTTTGAGCATGACCTAAATTAACCGAATATAAATGTGTTAGGTTGTTTGTATATTACTTATACTGCGTATTTTTCTGTATTCTCCATGTTATTTGTCACAGGTATGTCTTATATTTACTTATTATATAGATTTAATCTCTTTTTTTCCCTGTATTTCTCTATATTGCAATTATTCTTTGTACTCCCATTCCGTAACTAGAATTTTGTTTCTGTGGAATGGTGTATCCAAAACAAATAAATAAATAAATAAAAAAGATTAGAGATTAAAGATGTCAAAAGTGAAGACAATGTTGATTTACTTTTACGATTCCAAGGACATTGTCCATAAAGGGTTCGTTCCACCGAGACAAATCGTTAATGCACAATTCTTTCTTGGCATTTTTTAACTCTGAACTCTGATTTGACGCCGTGATACTTTTACCTTTTTGGAAAAATGTATTTGTCGATGTAAGGAAAACGTTTTGTGGATATACTAGTCAATTCAAAAGACTTCGACATCCTGAAGGACATCCGGACGATGATCTAAAACACTCATTCGACGTGTTTTTAAACCGTGCAAATCGCTGTATTGAGTCGAAAGGGGGCTATTTTGAATGAAATAAATTAATTTTCCAAAAAACTTTTTGTTGTTTTAAAAAATCCTGTTTACTTTGGAACGCAGCTTGTATGATAATATAATTTTGTACAATTCACACAGAGTAATGATTTGTCTTCCGGACTGTTTTTTAACACCGAACAATTATTAAAATGTAGGTATTTTTAAGAATAAGTAATCGGCAAAAAAATGGAAATCCCATAGTATTAACATTCTCTATAATTCTAAAGCTACATGTAGATTGACGCATTGCAACATTAATATAATAATTTTTTGAAACAATGTTGGGACACACCTGACTGTATCGTAACCTAGGCGAATGTCGGCCTATAGACGCCCATCTCTCAATGAATGATTTGCATAATGAAATTAAATATGTTCATCTACACATCACTGTTCAATCACAGTGTGACATTACCGATCTGCAACAGCTCTTGGATATTGCTCTAATTTTTTCACAAATTTGTATGCAAGATTTGTCCTTATAATCTTACTCCGAGTCCACACCGACGCCAACGCAAACATTGTTAGCTAACTGCATTCACTTGGTAATGTTTACTAGTCAAATGTGGCGAACATTGTTTTTGAACATATTGATCATATCAGCAATATTAGCTAGAACCTCTTCCAGAAAAAAATATTACGTGTCCCGGTTATGTGTGATATCTTGAAGAACGAGAGGAAATACGGCCGTCAGTCGGTTGACGTTCGGTTCGAGCACGGTGTGGTAATGTGTGTCCTAACCTTAATGCAGATATGTAGTTTGCGCGTTAAATTTAAAGGTCTCATTCACTAGCGAGCCCAATCGGATAACATGGTTGTTCTTGTAAAATGTGCATTGGTATCTGTCTTGTGCCAACACGAACGAAACTTGCTTGGTCGGATTTCACTTAACATTGAAATCCTTTTATTTATTAAATACGAGTACATATTTGAGAACTGTCGAAAGAAAAACAGAATTGATTTCATTACTGACTTAATTAATATTAATATAGAGAGTGTTTCGCATAAGAACCAATACAGAGCAGCGGCGTGTAGGAGAACCCAAAATACGGTGATTTAACGCAACCGTATCTTTTTACTAAGCTGCACTGCACCCCTGAGAAGTCATAGACCTTGAAATTGGGGTTTCAAATTTCGAAAAAAATCAATATCTCAGTTTGAACTTAGAAAAACCAAATTTGATACACGGTGTGAGTTTACCAAAAGCATTAATCGACCGTAAGTAGAGTTCAATTGAAGCATTTTAAAGGGTTGATAAGGGATGATGCAATGTGACAGTTTTTTAACCCATTGGCGGACTTAAAAAATTATTACTTTATTTTATGGGGAATTTAGTTAAAAAATATTTCTTCCTCTTGTCAGTTTTCAAAAAACTTTGTCGTTTTCAACGAATAACTAATAATACGTATTGTAGCTGAATTATTTAAAATCATCGAAAATTCAAAAGTTGGCTATGAATTTAAACGTTAAACTTGAAGTTCAAGTATAACTGAGATATTGAAAGTTGGAGTCCCACTTTCAAGGCCTATAACTTCTCAGGACTGCAGCTTATTATAAAGGTAAGTTGCGTTAAATTACCATATTTTGGGTGCCCTTACAAGCCCCTGCTCTGTGTCGGTTCTTATGCGAAACACCCTGTATACTATAAGGAACACATTACACGGTCGAAATCCCCTGAATATTCCAATAGACTTAAAAAAGGCTTATACAACTGTAACTAACATGTAAAAGACAATATGTAAGACTGTCATTAGTCATTTTTGTAATAGGTTTGTAAATATTTTTCTTCAATTTTTAACAAACAAAACATACATTAAAGAATAGTTACCTCAATGTTTTTTTATGTCCGATATATAATTTCACAAGTTTCATGGATAATATCTGCTAACTGAGGCAAAACTATTGTTGAAAAATTTAACAATTAAGGGAACGACCAGTTGCCAGGAATCCATTGATAAAGAATTTAATAAATTAGCTATTAGCTTAGGTATTATTCCTAAATATACCAGGTTTATCGCACCCTGCTATAAATGCGTCGTGTAATTATAGAAGCTAGGTGTTCTAAGTTCATGTAAAATCTGAAAATTTATCTTT